GAAGTATAGAAATTTCTGCTCCACTATCAATCAAAAAATTTAGTTTGTTTGTTTTATCAAAAATAAATAGGCGACGTGTGGTAATATCTAAATTTCCATTGTTTGCCGCCACAACAACGGATGACTCTAGTTTAACGAATTTTTGTTTTTAGAAAAAGCACAAGGCTGTTGACATTTCTGAGCCTTATCACCAAATTTGTAATAGTATCTACATAACCAATTTTGACTATCACGATATTTTGATCTACCTCTATATGGACTTCTAAAACAATTCCTATTATATGATCTATATCTAGAATTTTGATTAATTTGTTGCTTAATAGAATTTAATTCAAAGGAAAGTTTTTGAAAATTTTCGCACATAAGATTCGTCGTTTTAACTAAATTCTCAATAATTGTGTCTTGTGATTTAGAATTTTGAAAACTATTCATAGCTGATATTTCGGTTTTATTAATCACTTCCCTAATATTATCAGCTAGTTTCACCAATTCATTTATAACATTGGTACTTGAACTAGCTAATATCACACTAAGATTTTTTGGCAATTTTCTCAGCCAAAGTTTCTTTAAAATATCTTGACTAAAATTGGAACCTGCAAGCAACATGAGCGACCGATAAAATTCAGAGGGTTTACGATCACCCATCTCTGAATCTGACAAAATTTTATCTAATTTCTTATTTTCGCTTAAAGAATGCCTTTCAATTAAGACTTTCTTTAATTCTGAAAACTTGTTGTTATGCGGAGGATTTTGAATGAAATCTAATATTGTAACTATTACTTCTTGCGGAAGCGCTGTGATTGTGTGTTCATATTTTGTAGTATCTTGTGTAATGTTTTTCATGTTAAATTGCATTTCTGTATGTACAAACCAAGCTTCTGGACAACTTGTCCAAAATTGTGGAAGCTTCACTGAGGTTGCATACACCTCATTATTATTTTGACTAGCATAAGGATTTGCCAACTCCTCTTGAAAAGAGTTGTTTTGCAAATCTATAAGCGAGTCATTTAAATTATTAGTCCCTGTAGATGTGTGTGTATCATGTGGGGGTGAACGAAACATGATAATTTAAATTTGAGCAAATATAAAAGATCTCAGAAAAGGGAAGTTTACAATTATGTCAAAGACAAAAAAAAATTTATAAATAATAATTAAACGCAGTAAAACTAAGATTGTTCGCACCTTTAGTTTAGTCTCGAAACGTACTTTAATCCACTCAATAAATACTCCAGGTGTTATTGTTGTTAAGATTGTTGTTACACTACTACTTTTGTGGCAGTTACTGTTTTTGCTTTTACTGTAATAGTCGTTGCTGTTACTTCCGCTACATTGCAGTTGCTGCTGATGCTGCTGCTACGAGAGCGATTGCCGTTGCGGTAGTGCTGATGGCAGATACAATTGTAAGCTAGTTAGCTAGAAACGCTGTGCAACGATACTAAATACGCTGACAATGCGCAACGTGAGAGAGTTTAACCCGTCTGCGTTTTTCTTCTAATAAAAGATTCCTTCTTCTAGCTGATGATATATTTGTTTTTCCAGTTTGATTGCCGTGAAATAGCAGGTTTTTCAGTGTCGCAGGGTTTGCTGGCTGCGCGGTCGCGGATTTTTACTCGTTAATGCCTGAACTTGCATGCAAATCATCCAACAAATTTAGTTTACCACCAGCCTTTGGGTTTTAGTGTCGAAACCCAAATCATCATCGTCTTGAGGTAGCTCTTCAGATTGCGTGCCTTTCTGATTAGATATCTGCGGTGTACTTCCAACAATTGTTCTGATGGTAAATTGGGGCTTACGTGCTTTTTGTTACTGGCTAATTTGATACTTTTCTTTCTTCTTAAGTTGCAAATAATTGCTCCTGGCAGGATCGCCAAAAATGTAGTAGATTCCAAAGATTTCTTTTTAATATTTTAATTAAAAGTTAACAAAACTTAATTTATTTTTATATTGTTAGCAATTCGAGAAAAGTTTGAATAATAAAAATTTTCTATTTGATTGACGAACCACAAAAATCACATAAATCTAAAATTTCCAAAATTACAAAGTTGAAATGAACACAGTACAATAAAAGGTAATAACACAAATACAGACCCTACAGTCTGACTATTGTTGTGTAGCACCAATGCATCAGAGCAGGTGACAAACCCCAAGTGATTCGCAGCATTCTTTTACTTGTATAACGAGCGTTACTGGAATTCTTCACCCTTTCACCAATATTGCGCTTCCGCAGTAGCTTACTGTCCAAGACTACATACTCCCAAATACTTTGTGTGGTCTTTAATTGACAGCTCGATGCTACCTAGCCTCGGTGGCCTCTACACTGGAACTTTATATTTTCTTGTGAAGTGTATAAGGTCTGTTTTGTCTGTATTAACCCCTAGCCCCGCTCGAGAGGCCCATTGGTCAATAACTTTCACGACGCTGTTTATTACATTACTGATAGTGTCTAAGTACTTCTCTGTTATGACTACGGCTATGTAGTCTGTATACGCTATTAGCTTGGGCGCTTTCCCCTCGAATTCCTTTAGTAATTTGTTGTCCGTTAGTAGCCATAATAGTGGTGAGAGTACACCACCTTACAGTGTACCTCAACATGCCCGTCTGGTTACCCTTGCGTCGTTCCGCTCCGCTCTTATTTTCCTGCGGTCCAAAAAGCTTTTAATCCACAGCGAAATAGCAGGTTCCACGCCTGTTTATTCGATGCTATTCATAATAGCTTCACTAGAGACATTATTGAATGCTCCGGAAATGTCCAGAAATACCCGTAGAGCATATTCTTTGTATTCTAGAGCCCTTTCGATCAACACGTGGTCACTTCTTTGGGTCACTGTGTGTGTGGAAGAAAATGTCTTGGTAAAAAAAAAAAAAATAGTTTTGGTGAATTTTTTTATAACATTTAAAATATTTATTGTGGAATTTTTTCCGTTTTGGGGGAACCCCAAAGTTCCTATTATGTAAGATTCGTAACAGGAAGAAGAGAATCCATTTTCTTTAAAATTGCCACTTTCTCTACACTTTGCACTTAAAAAAATTAATATGAACATATAAAAATAAATAAAATTGTTTGAGAATTAGAGGGTCTACGCTGTTTTGCAATATACTTTTTGATTTCAGACCACTGTTCGTCGGTCCCACACTCATTTAAGCCTGCTAGGCAAGAATAGTTTTAGTAAAGTTGTGTTCAAAGTGGAACCTTGAAAGACAACTATCCGCCTGGTCTATTAGACCAGAAGTAAAAGGAGGTCTTCCTGGGTGGTATCACACAAGTGAAACAATTTTTTTTTATTTATTTTTGATCCGATTTTATTTTTGATTTAATTTTAATTAACACAGTTCGTTGAAAAGTTGCCTGGGTTATTAAGTACAATTAAAGCATAAACAGACGGCAGCGTTGATCCGGATCAACTCGGGAATTTACTGCAGTTGATCCGGATTAAGTCCGATTTAATCGGGATCCACGTTGCCGTATGTTTAAGCTTTTAGATAGCACCGGCGATATCCAGGCAGAGAAGCTGTTGGAGGTTGGAATTCTTTCATCTGGCAGATTCATTAAATATATGTCAGATTGTGTTCTCATTCATTCATAAATTCAAATTGCTACCTTGGTTTTTCGGTGGTTAAGTCGTGCAGAACGCCAGCCACGATCATATAACCAATTAACACAGTAATTTCCTCTAATGCCACATAGTACATACATACATACATGAGTTAGCATATAACTTAGTTAATTGAAGCACTTCAATTATAAACATGCTCTGCATGACCTAACAACGGCAAATCTTAATTTTATTTTTTTCGCATTTTTGCACATTTTCAGATGAATTACTGGACAGCAGCGTGGCATTGGCTGGCGTGGACGAGAGCAATTTTGTGCGCTCATTTGACAGTGGCATTGAAATTGACGAAGACTTGAGTTCTGTCAAATCGAGCGATTGTAGCGCGAATGAGCAACCGATACGCTGCCATCTGGCAAAATATGAAGGCTACACTTATGTGGTCGCCGAAACACTTTCACATGATCTCGAACGCTTTCACAGGAGTGGGCGTATTCAGGCTGCCAGCAGTGGGAGTGCTGCAGCAACATACAAATGTGGCTTCTGCATTTTCGAGTGCAGTGTGCGACTGGAGCTGAATAAACACTTGCAAATACATTTGGGTGAGTTGGCTGCGAGCGATTATAAATTCCGTTGTTTTTGTTTTTTTTTTTTCGTATGCATTTATTGATTTAATTACTGTGATTTTGTTTTTGCTTTTGTGCATTTCAGGCCCGCCACAACACAGCTGTCGTAAATGCAATTTTGTTGGCCACTTTAAGTTTTTACTGGCGCAGCATATGCGTAATGTACACCACTGTACGCTGGAGGCGATTGGAACGGGTCAAGAAGGTATGGAATGAATACTTTCGTTGAATATAGCTTATGTATGCACACTTAGGGTGGTACTTAAAGAATCAAATGAACGCCTCACCCACTGGATCAGTAATACCATGATTACAGATATGACATAAATTTTGGCCCCGATTTGAGTCGGTTAAAGCGTGTCGAACAGGGGGGCAAAGTTCAGATTCCTCTATAGAGACTCACAAAATTAAATATTTTTTTTGATCTAATACCCAAAATCGACACTACCATAGTCGAAGATATCACATACAAATTTTGGTTTTCATAGAGGAATCTGTACTGTGCCCCCTGTGCGACACGCCTTAACCGTCTCCAATCGGGACCACAATTTATTTGTGATATCTTCGACTATAGTAGAATTGACGGGGTTAAGACTAAGGAAATCTGATGTAAAAATTTGCTTTCTACATTTAAGGACATTATTATAGGGTGGTCCTAAACATATCAACATCAAAAATAAAATAAAGACATCCACGAAAATGTCAAAATTTTTACCAAATTTTTAGGCGCCACTATTAGGTTTAAAAAATTTTAAATTATTTCAAAAATCGCACAAATTATACCAAAATTTGGTTAGAAATAAGATAAACTGGACATTTACTTATTTATACTTTAATAAAAAAAAATCATCTTTGTTTTAACAAAATAAGTATTAATATTTTAAGGACTACCCTAATGCGTATGCAAGCTTGAATAAAAATAAAAGTTGGAGTATTTAATTACTTATGTCTAATTGTGTGTTCGTGGGCATTAGGGTATCTTATCTTATCAGCTTTTGAACTACGTCACACAAACCAAAATATACCTGAATAAAAAAACATATGTTTCCTACCTAAAATTTTTTATTTTTATTTACAATAGAAGAAGTGCAATATTTATTCACCAGAAGCCGATAACGACAACTTTCAATGTTTGTTTATTTATTTCTCTGTTGTTTGCCAAAAAAAAAAACATATAGCGAAGGTTGGCGGCGATATCGCACGCGGTTGCCAAGTAGCTGGAGCACTAGCAGCAGCTGCAGAGGGTCCCAAATACCACTGCCATTTATGTGGAGAATGTTTTGTCAATTATGATGCCTTACAACAGCATCGAAAATCGCACAAAGGTGTGTCATTGTTGCAAATGTAAAACATTATTCGATATTGATTTTTGTTTGATTTATTTTGCAGTTTTTTGCCAATGCACCGTGTGTACGTACAAAAGTTCGACTCGCGAAAATGTTCTGGAGCATATGGCTAAAGAGCACAAGGTACTCGTGGAGCGGCGTTTAATTGGTGAGTAGAGGGTACAAGGAGGATATTGAAAACAAAAATACTGAAATGAGGAAAGCAAAATTAGATTCAAGAACTTCGTAGAGGACTAAAAAAATTTGGTAAATAGTTTTTTTTCAGAAACACTAACCTTTTAAAAAGTTATGAATTAAATTCGAAAACAAAAAGAAGAAGAAAAAAAATAAAAGATTTTTATTTTTAGATCATTACAAAAACGTTATTTTCTGATAATAATTTTTTCGATCAAGTATACCCGCGAAATTTGGTTCATTTTTATTCGTTTTGATCGAAAAAAAAATCAAAAATAATAAAAAAATTCGAAAACGCATAAAATCCAAAAATAAAACGTTTATTCTTGATAGAAAAAAAATAAAAAACGGAGTTTGCGCAAAAAAATTTAAATCCAATTTTAACGGTTAAATTATGATTTTTATTAAAATTCGTATTGTAACGGGTCACTTTTTAAACAAAGTAAGGTCATTTCTACGAATGCAATTATGAACGTTTTTAGTTAAATTTTTGTTTTTAAGAGGACATACCTTAATAAACTGCAAACCCGTCTTCCGGTATTTTTTTCGTTATGACGTTCTTTCAGCAAACGAGCGTTATGTATTTGAAGAACATATTTTCGTTTCTTTTAAAGCAGACCTTGATGAAAAATGAACTAAATTATATCGTGAAAATAAGCTTAACCCCAACAAGGCAGCAGATTAGCTCTTCAGACATCGGGGTCGCCTTACCGCCAAAAAAATTAAGTGTATAGCACCTGAAACAGAAACTCATAGCCGTTTTAAGTTTTTTATATGCTTCCAGTTTCCTTTTCCGTAGCTCACTTAGTTAGGCATTGGCTATAAAATTTTGCACTGAGATTAAAGTAGTTACGAATTAAAACATTTTTCAATTTGCAATTTTTAATTTGTCAAAGTAAAATGTAATGCAGTAGAAGCTCCACACATCTCTGTTTCTTTTATATCGCGGTTCAAGAGCACACTGTCAAATATTTTGACAGGATATTAATTGGGCAGAGGAAGACAATTTTTCACTTGTAAGTGTGTACAACTACTATCGTGGCATGGCATTGAATGACAGCTAAGTGTTTTCCAAATAAGTTGTTTTTAAATGTGGTTGGGATACCTTTGAATAATTCATATACTTGAAAGAAAGTCATTTCGGTGCAAGCTTCAATACTTTCGTAGTTGTTTTCGGTTTAAGGAAATGTCCTACGGTTCTTGAATTAATGAAATATCTATGTAAATGCATGTAAAAAGAGATACATATATGTAATTTAATAATTATAATTAATATTCATAATTGTTTTTATTTTCAAGTTAAATATATACCGCTTCAGCGAATTAATGCCGAACACCTAAAAGAATTTGGAGGCAACAAAACTGTAAGCGATTCTGCAGAATCAAAACTGCTACCAAAGGACAATAAATATCGAAAACATTTATGCCAATTTTGTGGTTA